GTTTTGTTCCTATCTCAACGAAAAGAATTTCTGACTTGCTTGCTCGCTTGATCCCTGGAATCAAAGTCAACACAAGGATGGGAGGGCAAACGGAATACAATAGAGAACAAAAGCTACTGGATGGAAGCCAATTGCACCTTCAACATCTACTGGATCTCAAAGAGAAAGATAAATCTATTTCATCTGTAACTACAAGATAGGACTTTATATCCGCCTATGATAGTAAGCCTCGAACCTTACTCTATTATATTAGAATTTTATTCGACAAATTCAGATACTAATGCGGGACTAATTTGCAAAAAACCTTCCTCTGATATTGAGTCTTCGAGAGCCAGACTGGAAATGATAATCCCTACGGAAAGATAGTTGGTTGCCATCCTAGACACCGTCTTATTGGCCCATGGAAATTATCTAAACCGAGCGGATCAAACCTTTCTTCTTCTTGCTAAAGCAGATGCCGAACCTCATTATTTAGCGGCTCTCCGAAGTCAGAGAGATGGGTGGGGGCCTTTCTGATAGGCGGGACAAAGCGCTTTCAATGGTGATGAAAGAAGGGGAAATGCCTGTACGGTCAATATATTCTTCTTGCTTACTCGCTCAGCTCTATATACTTATATATTAGTTAGCCCGTTCGCTTTCAGACTGCTACCCGCTCAAACTATTACTATTAGCTAAACAACCCTTTCTTTGTGTTTAACTGTGGTTAAACACTACCAAAGCAATGGGAGGAAAGAGCTATAAGGAAGACTGATTCACTCGCTTTCGAGAACTAAGATTTACAGCTTATTCTCCGTTCGGTGAATCTTCTTCCGGGGAATTCAACTCTTCATTCATAGAGTGGGAACATAATAAGCACCAGTAGCCTAGCCTATTGAGTTAGATGAGCTAGATGACTTTCATTAGCTCCTAGCGCAACATATCTGAATTTAATATAGGGTTAAGAGTGACTTGCTTACACTGCTGAATAACCTTCACTTTAGCGAGCTATAGGACAAACTACATTTAAGAGGAGAAAGGAAACTTTGAATAGAAGGATCAGTGCCCATAGCAGTCCTGGAGTTAGGTTATGATGGTCGTGATGAGCTCTACTAGAAAGAAAATCTCTTCTATTCATAGATGAAGTCCTATCTAAGGGCCTTCGTCGCCCTTGAATTCTGTTCCCTAGTTCAATCCGGAACTCCAGATGTGTAAGTAGCGGCCAAGTGGCTCTGTCCTTTTCAAATAGGTTATCCTTCTCTCTCCCCGCTTTTTAGTCTTATAGGATAGCTCACCATTCAAGTAAATCAATTTACTCGGTGCTTACTGTCTTCTTTCTAGCCTAATTGGTAGTAGTCCCTTTTTAGTACCACCTTTCCTTTTCTTCTCTTTTAGCAGCCCTGTAGGCCAGCTAAAGACCGAATAAAGCAGTTCAAGCCTGCTTGATATCTATCCAAGACCTGGCCGATGGCTACTTCCAATTTAATTTCCACTTATCTTAACAAAACTTGGGCTAATCGACTCCCAGCCTAGCTAGACCTGGTGAAAGCAATCGAGCCAAAGCAATACTTATTCCTTCTACGGTAAAGGATGCAAATGAAATGATAGTGGTTATGGAGACATCTACTCCAAGAAGAATAGTATTAGAGTCAAGACCAGTGCTACCCCTTCCCTGCTATGCTTCCTTACTCAACAATCAAAGAAGCATTTTCGATTCCCCGATCCACTCTCGTGCTAACATGCTAACAACGGTTTAGGTAAGCCAGGGGCTAAGCGGGAATGCCCTATCTAACTGCCTACTTCCTTCTGATCTTTCTGCTCTTGGGGATTCATCTCTACCTTTTTCATAAAATGTAGTGGCCAAACCAAATAGTCCATTTCCTCTCTTTTCTCGCTCCTCAAGAAAGATGGCTAGAAACTTCCTATTAGGAATGGCTTCCTTTCAGGTTATGTTGTTACAGACCAGACTGTTCTATCAGGGCAGGGGAGACAGATAACTAATCTAATACAGTACATCTATGATCGGGCAATAGCGCAGATAAGATCAGACTAAATGTGTGAAGGATATCGTTATGGTTCTCTTCTGTCCAGTTCCTTCAATCAAAGAAGAATCCATGCCCAGGGCTAGTGCCAACGCACAGTCAGAGTCTTCCCTGCATGCCTAATATCCACTCCTTCTAGTCGAGTGCCTTGCGGCGCCTTTAACGATGAGAGAAGGCGATACCGAAGAGAATAACTCAAGGGCACTGGCTACTCCATCAACTCAATTTCGTTGCGTAAGTGAGGATGCCAATCATCATAGTCTGAACTTTTAATCTTTCGTAGGCTCATCTCATCGATTGACATTCTGATCCTGGTCATTCATAGATATTCGGCGCTTTTAGTCATAGGCTATTGCCCATTCCTGATAGCCGCACCTCTGCCCGTTCCCTAATGAACCTGGGAATGCAGATAGGGTATTAACTGATGTTGTAACATTACGTCCCAGATATTTTGGGTGTTACTTGGCGCTTGTGGTCATGGGTATAGGTTGTGTTGTCTGGTACAAGGTGGACCCTTGCTCAATAACTAATATGCCTGATAGCACCATATTTGACCTGCTATTCAACTACGAGAAGTATTTCAACCTACAGCATTGACCGCAGGGGTTTGAGGTCGCAAAGTTTATCGATTCTGGAAATGTTACCCAGCCGGTTCCCCATGCCATTAGTGAAATGCCTTTATATGAATTAACTATTTCGGCTAGTGGCCCTCTGCTTAAGGCAATTGCGTTGGGCATAATGCTGTCATTCGCTCTTGCTGTGGGTCTTGTCCCTACAGAAATGGGATGGTATGGATAGTCTATTATTCATGAAAGTTCTTTCTTAGGGAAGATGGGTTCATAATATCACATAATAAATCTAACTTAATCTTAAGGTGAAGCGCCTAGCTGCTAGGTTCATCTCTAAAAAGTAGATTATTTCGATCAGCATTGGAATCAATATTTTGCTTGGCATAGTTGCAATACGACTTTCCTGGTCTATAGTTCTAGCTGAAGCTAGCCGAGATCGAGAGTTTTCTTATCATGCTGCTCCTGGATTGAAATGAAGCTGGTGTGCCAAGGTTAAAACTGCCAGACAGAGACGAGCTAGCAGGACTCTTACTATATATGAGTATAGAAAAGAGGTATCATCTTATGTGATATTGAAGTGCATGATAGAGATAAATGCTTCCGTAAGTTGACTTATTTCTGGTAAGCGAAAGGTAAAAGTCAATAAAAGAGATAATGCCAAACCTTAGAGTTCGCTGCAGTGCCTATTCCTTATGAGTTCTAGGCGTCTTCTAGGCTTTCACCCTCTGTCAGTCCATTGCATCAAGAGTATTGAGATTGATTGGGCCCTGGGACCCTTTTAGGAAAGCGACGGAACAAAAGTAACGATAGGAAAGGAAACCTTATTCGATGACCATCCCTCCTTCTGAATAGAGATAGGGTTGCCTATCAATCGACAGTTGCTGGTAGAATAAATCTACCCTACGCCTCTGCTGGTATAATGAATAAGTACGGGCTTTTTTCTACCTGCTGCTAACAGTCTTTCTTCGAAATTATCTGAACGGGTTGATCCTCCCATGCCGTTTGTTTTAGCAATTTATCCTAAGGTCTCCTCGCCAAGAGCTTTCCGGCGACGACAAAGGAAGCAACCCGTCTGTTGTGGTGGGGCGGCTTTTTTCTTTCACAATAAGACCTCGACGATTATCCCTACCTTTGGTAGCTTACGAGTTTACGTCCATCCCTGNAGGTCCTACGAGGTACCCACTACTCGGAGTACCCTCCCAAAAGGAAAAAGATGTGTCTGTCAGGCATAAGCCAAAGATCCCGGGATGACTCTAAAATCTAACGAGATAATTCTGGTTAAACCGGGCATTCCTCAGAGCAAGGAAAGATCTTTCAAAAATAGAATCAAGAGAAAGCGCTAGAACCGATGTAAGTAAGATCCGCTACAACTAGAAGTCGATCTGGTACCTTCCTCAGGGTACTCAACAACTAGAGTCATCTCCCTTTCTCCTTTTAGCTTTAGTCGGTCGAGTAGCTTATTCGAACGTTGTGAACTCATTCCTGCCTTTGCAATACCAGTGCATCTTGTGCCACAGAATCGGTTGTGCTCTGCCTCTTCCCCTCTATCAGAAGATTGCCTTGTGTGGAAGGCTGACTCTGAACTTCAGTTAATGGGAGGAATCCCCTTATCTATGGTTCTTTGTATGGCACTCTAAACTCTCTTTCTTACGCGAGACAGAAAGTGTAACTACCGAAACTCTTTCAACTTGTCATGTCTTTGGATAAGTGTTGCGGTTAAGTCAGTTAACAAGACGGTAGTCGAAAAATTAAAATAAGAACTGTCAAGTGATTCTTGAATGCTTCTACTTATGTAGATGGAGTCCGTACACTACTATATATACTTAAAATTCCCAAGACAATATCGGGAGTACCCATCTTATATGATATGTAACTAGATCGTCAAACTCTTTCCCGCTATACCCAGCCGATTCTCAAGGACACCGATATATCCAGCCGACTCTCAAGGACAAAAGGTATAGCATTGCATTTTAATAGACAGATGAAAGCTAGGTCTCTGCTCCTTCTTCGCGAGGAAGAAAAACTTTTATTAGCAAACTAAAGTGCACTCTAGGTGAAAGTATACTTTGGTGTAAAGCAAGTAACTTTTGACTATTAAAGGACTTAATTTTATCAGAACAAAAATTTGGTCAAAAAACTGAGGTGCATGCGCTGCAAATAAAGTATTCAAATGATAATTGCAATTTTTATCATGCAATGAATTTGTAAACTTCTTTAGAAGTATTCTTTAATTTTTTTTTCTTCCAGCTAAGCAAATGACCTCTTAATAGAATTTAATGTTGTCACGTTTCTTTGTTTTATTTAGCAAAAACAGTAGCAGAAATCTTAGATATAGTTATTGCTTCTGCTATTCATTTTGATAATTCTGACGGAGATAAAAATATTCATGGATCTGAAGCTTCATTCTAGCCGTTGGGCCCGGGCCATTACTTCATTTGAGGAGGTTGGGGTCGTAGGGGTATTTCGGGAAAACTGTATATGTATTGGCCTAAGCCACGTGCTAACCCTTTTTCCCAAATTGAACCGAACGTCGATGTCTTCAAACTGAACGTCAACCCCCAGCTTCTTCCTCATAATTGTTTAACTCCTCTTCCAGTTTTCTTTGTCCCTTCCAGCCTTCTCTCTTCCTACTCAATTTATGTGCTTGGTTGTATAGTTATAAGGTGAGTTTTGCTTTCTTATTTTTCTAATTTTCGAAATCGTTGCTGCGTAAAAATTGTTTAAATTGTTTGTTCGCAAAAAATTGCGATTGATTGTGGACTCTGGAAAACAGGGCACGCGTGTTCCTCCAGATTCTCTTAATTGTTCAACTCCTCTTCCAGTTTTCTTTGTCTCTTCCAGTCTTCTCTCTTGCTGCTCAATTTATGTGCTTTGTTGTTGTATAGTTATAAGGTGAGTATTGCTTTCTTATTTTTCTGATTTTCAAATCGCTGCTAGGTAGAAAATGATTAAATTGGACAAATTGTTGGTCCACATTTTCTGTGTTTATCCGCAAAAAAATGCGATTCATTGTGGACTCTGGAATGCAAAGGGATAGGTTGTTTAAAGAGATGGCCATAAGGTGTTTGCTCATTTGCTTGAATGAGTTATTCCACTATGTGCTTGTTCCTATTCTGTAATACTGAATCTATATGACTGAAAACTGCTCATTTACGCTACTAAATAAGGAATAATGGTGAAGTTTGAGTACAAATTAATATCGTTGGTTGTCAAAGGCATTAGCTTTAGACGAATTGGGCAGAATTATGCAGTGACAAAATTGATTGCTGCCATCTTTCATGGAGTTAGATGATTTTAAAAAAAAGTTGGGGCAGATTGGTTGAGTTAAATTTTAGTGGTGAATTTTCCTTATTGTTGTTCTAAAAATGGAAGTTTTGGTGCATATTCAAGTCACAACACAAGGAGGATCATAACGTTAAAGTAATGATTCAAATCATCACCAGAGTATAGAATTAAAAATATGTAACTGTACCTTGTAATTAAACTTTTTTCATATATCATATTTTCATTTTGGCGAACTTATACATTTTGGTTATGATTAGTATTGACACAGGTGATTATTTGAGTGAGCTTTTTGATTAAATATAGCAGCTTCTGTATGGAAATTTGCAGGACATGTGAAGATGTAGGTTGCGGAAACTGAATCTAGAAAAGTAAACAAGTAGTAAGTTCATCATGTGACACCTTAGCCAATGAATATCATGTCACATCATGCCAAGTACCTTCGGTCTAAAAGGCTGCTGCAAGCAGGGGTGATACAAAGAACAATGAACTTTAAGCGTATAAAGTACAATTGACATAGCAAACGGTGGCACACATGATTAGTAAAGTTGCATGCATGGTAAATTTGTGCATTCCCATAGTTGTGTTGCTGCATTTTGGAGTCACTTGGTTTAGTCCATTTTTATGATATTTTGCACAGTTGCTTTTGGCAAATTAAGCCATAGTCTATCCAATTGATCCTATGTTGCAGCTTGGTTTTGGTTTGCATGTTCGTTTTATAAATTTGGGTATGCAAATAAAATAGACTATATATTGGGAAGACGTTCTATATTTAACAGAACTTGAGAAATGGTCACCAAATGCAATTTACCAAGCCACTAGAATATTTGCTTCAAATTTGGGTGTCAAGAAGGCAGAACGCTTCTACAAGTTTGTCTTGCTCCCACGAGTTAGAAATGATATTTGCAAGAATTAGAGATTGCATTTTGCTCTGTATCAATCTTTGAAGAAATCTCTTTATAAGCCTGCTGCCTTCAATAAGGGAATCTTGTTTCCTTTGTGTGAGGTATATAACCATTCTGAAAGAATTCTTTAAATTAATTGGAGAATTGCAATTATATCCAAAGTTTTCAAGATCTTCTGTAGAAAATAGCATTGATCGATTAGCTATATTCTCTAGATTGGCCGTTGATTGCTTAAGTGACTTGCTTTACGGTAAAACACGACACAGGAATACTGAAGAGTGGGTAATGGGTTTTCCATTTATCTACTTCTCTACCTTACTGATACTTTGTTACTGCTCTGCAAGACTTCGTGAAATCTGATGCCACATGCGTGCTGAGATATTTGTTGTCTAGCAGGAGTTAGTACTTAGTCGAGAATCTGACATCCTTCTTTGTATATTTCTATTAAGCCATCAACAGAAGTTCTGCACTTGAGGATAGATCTATATGCATTTAGTATCAGCTTTCTGTGCAGTAAACATCTATTTATCCGTCACTTCCGTGCCTTAGACTTGTGAGTTCGGTTGCATTTGTGAATTGTTCACCTGCGTCCTATAGTAAGTCCGAATAGCATTCTCCCTCCTTATAAGCTATATTTGTGCAGCCTCTTAAGGTTTAACACTAATAGTTGATTAATGGTTCACGATGGACAGTCAAGGTTTTCCATTAATGGAAAACCCATTTACCATTTTGTTGGGACCTCTACTTTTAGTGAGTACACTGTGGTTCATGTTGGTTGTGTTGTTAAAATCAGCCCCTTGCTCCTCTTGACAAAGTCTGTGTTCTCAGTTGTGGAATCTCCACACGTATACGAGAAACAACGATAACTTATGCATCTCAAATAGTAGTTTCATGTGAGGAGTTCAATTGTCGATTGATCAAATGCTACTTTTCTAGGCCTTGGTGCAACTCTAAATGTGGCTAAACTAACAAAAGGATCAAGTGTGGCCATATTTGGACTTGGAGCTGTGTTGTGAGTACTCTGTCCATATTGCAAATAATTTTCAATGATCTATCTTTTTCTGTCTTTGTTCTTTCCCATATGTTACTTTAAGGAATCTTATTAATAATCTGATCCCATTTGGTCAGGCCGCAGAAGGAGCAAGAATTGTTGGTGCTTCAAGGATAATTGGTGTTGATTTAATTCCTAGCAGATTTGATTTAGGTAATTAAGTTGTACCTACACAAGTGCCTTGATATTTTTCACTTGTCTCTCCAACATTCTTGATCCTTTATTTTATTTAATTCCTTCCTTATTACTTGTCTCAACTCATTCATCCATTTTGCCTATTTTCTACATCTAAGAAATTTGGTGTGACGGAGTTTGGGAATCCAAAGAATCATAATAAATCAGTTCAAGAGGTACTCATATTTTTTTAGTTTGTTAATAGATTAGTACGCACCATAAAAAAACGTGAGCTGAAGTTGATCATCTTTTATTGGATTCTTGTTTGATTAGGTAATTGCTAAGATGACTGATGGCAGAGTAGACAGGAGTGTTGAATATACTGGGCATATTGATGCTATGATTTCAGCATTTGAATATGCCCACGATGCATGTTTTCTGTCGTCAAATTTCCTTATTTTATGTTCTTATTACTACATTAGTTTTACTGGAAGTACATGCTAATAAAACTTAAATAATATTCAAGGTTGGGGACTGCCTGTTCTTGTTGGAGTACCCCATAAAGAATCTGTCTTCTAGACACACCCTATGAACTTAATGAATGGAATGACTCTCAAGAGAACATTCTTTGGAAACAACAAGCCCCGTTATGATCTTCCTTCTGTTGTTGAGAAATACATGAACAAGGAGCTTGAATTGGAGAAATTTATCACTCATAAACTCCTATTTGCTGAAATCAACAAGGCATTTGATTTAATGTTGAAAGGAGAAGGCCTTCGTTGCATTTGCTGATTTGCAATGCAAGTGCACAAAAAGTGACATAATCGGGAAAAGCTTCATTGTAGCGTTAGTTATCAATGCGTTGTTTGGTTATTTGACTGTACTTTCACTGCGTAAAAATAGTATGCTTGGTATAACTATTAAGGAAAATTCAATATTTTTGGATCTCTTATCTAACTGCATTCTTTTTTATTTAGTATTGATAGCTTTAGGTGAGCAAAATGACCTTTAAGCAAGTCAAAGTTCAAATCCTTGACTCTACATCAGCTGATCAGCTAGTGGGCAACTTTTTGGTTCTTCATGAAGATGAGTTAGGGTTAAAATGTGTTTGAATAATTCAGATAAGCGTGGATTTGACCACACCTAGGGTGAGCTATGTCCAAAGAGTTACGGTTGTGAAGAAGTTACCAGGGGATATCTCTTTCTTATCTACTTCTGCCATTCCCCTTAGTTGCACGCATGTACAATTACTTGCATCTTTCTCTTGGTGCAGTAAAGAATCCTTTTCGATGTTTCACAGATTAGGGTAGATATGGAGACTTCAGAGATGGAACCGGTTCAGATTAACAATGCACCGAGGAGACCTCGCATTCTGCTTGCAGCAAGTGGAAGTGTGGCTGCTATCAAGTTTGCCAGTCTATGCCGTTCCTTTACTGATTGGGCTGAAGTTAAAGCGGTTGCTACAAAAGCTTCTCTTCATTTCATAGACAAAGCTTCACTTCCGGAAGATGTCATTCTTTATACTGATGAGGATGAATGGTCAACTTGGACGAAGATAGGTGACAGTGTGCTACACATCGAGCTCCGGAGGTGGGCTGATATTATGATTATTGCCCCTTTGTCAGCAAATACACTTGGGAAGGTGATGTATCTTTCTACATTTTTTAGATGCTCAAATCTTATTTCATGATAACGCACATTCTGCCGCAAAGACGCAATTTATTCCCTTATTCTAGTTGACAACAGTATTACTGCTTAGTTCAGGTAATGCTTTAAAGCTTAATATAGTCAGTAAAAAGACAATTTATTGAAGATGCAAAGAAATTGGGTTTGGCTGAGAAGAGTTTCATAGCATGAGTTGCGAACTTCTCTGTGATACGGACTTGCAGAATTGTCAGATATTGCCAATGTGAATACTTCCATGATGGAAGGTGTTAAGAGAGATCGATACAATTTCCATATTATAGTTCTTGATTTGTTTGGTGCATGGTTTTGTTAGTTGTTTGATGTCGATAGATTACNTGTCGATAGATTATATTGTTTTCTACTTTGCAGATAAACTGATATATGCCTTCTGTACTGTAGATTGCTGGTGGACTATGTGATAACTTGTTAACCTGCATCGTACGAGCATGGGACTACGATAAACCCCTTTTCGTGGCACCAGCAATGAATACATTGATGTGGAATAATCCATTCACAGAAAAGCACCTTATGGCAATTGATGAGCTTGGGATCTCTCTCATACCACCAGTATCAAAGAGACTAGCCTGTGGAGATTACGGGAATGGAGCAATGGCTGAACCGTCTCTGATCTTCCAAGCTGTAAGACTCTATTATGACGCACAATTACGATCAGGTGGCAGCAACGTGGCGTGATCCACAGGTCATGAAATTTCATTCATCGGTTTGTACAAGTGATAGAAGTTGTTGAAATTCAGGACCAGGAGCCCAGCTGTGTTATTTTTCTCCTAAATTCTTCACCTCCCTAGTATCTTTCTTGTGTCCTAGAGCTACTTTCAATCAAGGTTCATGTTCATTTTAGTCGATAAAATGAGAATATCACGTAACTGCTGTTACTAATGGATGTGATCATGATCATGAACATGAAAAAACAAATGTGTGTAATGGGGAAAATTGATGCAGCTGTTATTTGGCTATATATTTATTTCCCCTCCCTCGTCTGTATTCATTTTGTTTTTCAATAACAAAGATGTTTGGGCCAATTTGCGTGCAGTTCGACTATTTGACCAGATACTTGTTACCTTTAACCAATATAGGTGCCATATAACTCTTTTGATTGCATTCTTGGACTATTCTAGCGGATACTGTTAATTGAGCTGTAAATGTCTTGTTCATTGAAACTAAACCCTCTCCAGGATAAACTGTTTTGTCATGTTAATAATTGCCATGGCAATGGGGCGGTGCGGTGCGGGTTTAGACACATGCGGGGCGGTGTGGGTTTAAACATATGTGGTTGCAGGGCTGGGCGGGTCAAAATAAAAACATTTAAAATTTATGCGGGTGCGGTGCGGGTTTAAAAAGGGTATGTGGGTTTAAGTACAGCTATATTTACTGATATTTGTTATGCTCTTTTTGCAAATGACACTTCAACTTTTTTACTCTTGCTTTCTATAGTACCTTTTGTTGTTTGTCTTACGGCTGTTGTGTTTTTACGTGAAATTGCACCTTCATCCACAATAGCTGAAGAGAAAGAGGCAGTGAATTATTTTGGTGTTATTAATGTTGCTGCTGTTTTTATAGCGGTTTATTTGTTAGCTTTTGACATTTCAGGGCCTCATGGTATTGTTTTTTCGCAAATGTTTGCTGTTATTCTTCTAATCCTATTAGCATCGCCTATTTTCATTCCTCTGTATATAATGGTCAAGAATTTTATCCGTTCGAAATCGGAAATTTAGTATTTCTAACGAAAATATCTATTAATTGATCTTCACAAAGATTTTTTGTATTTCTAACGAAAGCTTGAATAGGGTAAATTAACATATATACTTTTAACAAATATAAAAAGTTAAAAAACAAAGAGGTATTATGATATCAAAGATTTTTGTTAAGTAACTTTTATTGCATATGTGCAAGATTTAATTCTCTTAAGTATCTTATCTTCTTCTTTCCATAACTGAAGTTTTCCGTAATCTTTAGAATTAATAAAAAGCACAAGTACATATAGTAAAGGTGTAAAAAAAATTCCAGCCAAAAGATTAAAAAAAATAATTAAAACTAACAAAATGAAAAAAAAAATCACTTATGCAGGGCGGGTGAACGCGGGTGCAACTGNAAAAAGTAAAAAAAAAAAAAAAAAAAAAAAAAAAAAACCAGCCAAAAGTTTAACAAAAAAGAAAATTGAAACTAACAAAATGAAAAGAAATCACTTATGAGGGGCGGGTTAAGAGAACCCGCCCACACCACTTGCCATCCCTTAATTCGCCCAAACAGAGATTTTAAAAAATCTGTGTTATTTAAAGAGCTTATTAATAAATATAAAGAAAAGAAAATCAAGAAGGAGCTAAAAAGAGATCTCAGATGGCACAATATTTTCATCTAGAGTCAGATGCGTGTGACGACCCGTCGTTCACAAATCGTGCAGATAACGTCACTGCTCACAAATGCACCAGCCCGGAATCGAACCGTGCCAGGGCACTATTCTACCAATAGACCACTGATACTTCTTGTTATAACATATTAACATCTAAAGCAAAAAAGGAAATTTATCCAACTTAAATTTTCAAAAAATCTTGGGATTCTGTATGTTAATCATGCTTTAGAAAATTACATTAATGAAATACCTCGGATAATAACCATTTTAAACTTGTCACATCTCTATATAATATTCCCTCCGGTCCACAATAAGTGATTTTTTGACCTTTAACACATCCCTTAAGAAAATACTAACTCTTAAAAAAGGTATTTTGACTAAATTACCCTTAATTAAAATTTATTTATTGTTAACTTGACACATTGAGATATGTAAATAAGGACAAATTTGAAAAAATAAAGTTCCATTCTTGATTATATAGGACACTTGTTTTGAACCAAAATAAAAGGTCAAAATATCACTTATTATGCATCAGAGGAAATAACAATTTCATAATACTAAAGGTGATATTTTCTCATATACTTCACCTCTCATATATCTTGTAATTAAATCAAGTCCTCGGATTAGTGCTTTCATTCTATGTTAATTAATTTGGTTGCTTATAATATTAACAGAGTTGAATCTAGCTCTAATATGTGATTTTAAAAAGTTAAATATAAAAATGCATGTGTGACACATGAGATGCATGTGCGATGCACATGCTATCAATTTCATTAAGTCACATTTACACAGAGTCTAATACAGTATTGTAGCATCCGAGAAAGCTGCAAGTAGAGTAGCAAGTTAATTATATTGTGACCACTCCCAATGTGATTCTAATTTCTAATATTAATTGGATTGAATCTAGTGAGGTCAAATCCTCCTAAGGTGATAGGACGAATACAAGAAAATGCTGCAAGAAACTAAGTCCAAAGAAAAAGAAGGAAGTTAGTTACAATTTGAAGAAATATTGTTAAATTTTTGAAATACTATATATGTAGATATTGGAATTAAGCATATAAGCTTTTCTAATGAGTATTATATTTTACATATTTCTAGGACTTGGAATTTTGTAGCACATAGTTTAACTATCAAGTCGTTGAAATATGATTATCAGCTTTCATCATTTAGAGCTTTCACTTTTTTCCTTTTTAATTTTGTTTTATACATCACATACACATTTAATAATATATATGTGATTTTTAATTTTTTTTTTTACTAATTAACACGGATGCACGTGTGACGCACGAGATATATATGTAACGCATAAGATGCACGAGTGATGCACATGATAAAAATGTGACACCGAGATGCACGTGTAACTCGGTCAAAGAAAAACTCATTTGACTCTCAAAATTTTAATATCGCTATATAAATTGAGACGGAGAGAGTAACTTCTTATGCATGCATGTATCATTTCCCTTAATAGCAGCCCTCCCCCATCCTATAGAACCATGCGTTAACTAAAAAAATCTCTAGCTTCCAACCATTATCGTTTGAAAAAGAAAAAGAAAAACAAGCACAAAACGAATCATAGTCATGAAATCAGATAAAAGTAATATAAAATACTTTTTTATTCCATTTGCTCTCAGTTTGGATGCTAAATCTGGCAGAAGTCCATATACAGTATAAGATATACATGCTTGCATGTGAATCTTTTTTTACTCAATTCTTATTTTGTATAAGGTTGTTTGAAAGTTTGCATTTTGCTCAAAAGCGTCATTACTTTTTTAAGTTCAGATTAGTTATGTAGTAGTTAGCCAAAAAAAGCATGAACTTTGTTTGTTAGAGATGGCTATCAATTCAGCTGGCAGCCGTAGGAAAGTGGAGAAAATCAAGGCTAAGATATCATAGCTCTTCCTGCATCCAAACTTTAATGTAAGCACAAGCATTATTTTTATACCCAAAGGTATATACTTTATATACTCCCTTTAGAGAGTCAAATTATATTAATTGTTATTTTGCTTTAAAATCGGACAACAATTAAACTTATAAGTGATTTTAAGGATATGTGATTTCATTTGGCAGAAACTGATAAATGTCAGAATTAATGCTAGGGATTAATTATAAATAAAGCTAACCAATGTGATAAACAACCACGGCCCTCGAGCTAGACCGCCCTCGAACCAGCTAAATATGCTATTAAAAAGCATGGACTTTAAAAACAGAGCTTGCAAGAGAAAATATGATATATTGCCTTGTTGTGCGTGAATGTATATTGGTTACAAAATGATTAAGATCCTCTTTATATAGCAAAGGAATCCTATTTATGGTATAATTCTAATTACATAAGTAAATCCCATGATAGGCAAAATATCCGATCCTAACTCGATATGTGCCGAGATTTCCGCCACGATCCTCGCCCGATCACGGATATCTCGGCTTTCCGTTATTCGTCGTAGCAGGCCTCCTTCGATCTCGCTCAATCTCTTTCTCGCTTCGGTCTCGAATTGACCTCAATCCTGATCGGCCAATGATCCACGAGCTTACCAATCCATCTCCGTACCATGTTTCGATATAACTGGGGTCGGCCGTGCCTTGATCTTCTGTCCCGATTTTGATTAGTCGTATGAAATTAGACAAGCCCGATTCTGACCGTATACAGATAGTCCCCTCGTTTTTTAGAATGCAATGACAAGAAACAAATTGAGTCTTCGAATCTACCCTCGATTTATCATGTCGTAAGCATCATGACGTAAGCGGCAGGGGTGACCGAAATGTCCCATCGGTTCTGTTTCCCAGAAATTTATGGCACGTCAGTTGTCAGTCGGCCACTAGAACCTTTGAACCGTCGTCGTGGAACCCATAGATAGGCCTTTTTTCCACTCCTTCAAATTTTATTTTCAATCTCTTCTGCTCTAATCTTCAAAGCTCCTTGCATTCCTCAAGTTCCTCATTTGCAAATCTTCAAGTTTTATTGCTAACCTCTTTTTAAAACACCAAATATCCTAATCCCTGTTCTTCCTTGTTCACAAAAATGGCTAAGACCTCTAAAACTGTCCCTCATAAGGAAACCGCCTCTTCATCAAAGTCCGTCGGTGTCGCGGCCGCAGCGGAACGTCCCCTTGAGGACTTTGTTCCCACGAAGTGTGCTACTGCTGCTGATTTCAAGGTGGAGAACACACCCCCGATTCCGGGTCGATGTGAGCCGATGTCGAGGTACGTGTGTACGATTATGGAAGGTCTCCTCAAGAAGGTGAAGGAGGAGTGCAACTGGGTTGGAAAGGATGTAGTAATTCCTGCCCCCGAGGAATCCATCACAACTCACGCGGAGGGGTATCTAAGTGTCTATACTTACCCTTCACGATAGCTCCCTTGGATCCAATCATCGTCGTCTTATGCAAGAGGTACGATGTCACTTTAGGCCAAATCCATCCGTTGTTCTGGAGGATCATAATCCTTTTTCAATTTTTTGTAAGCAAGATCGAGGGCCATCCTTTTACCCTCGATTACCTCATGCGCCTTTACGGTCCCCGGCTTTATCGTGGAGGCATAATCAAGCTTCACTGCCGAGCCACCAAACCCCCATTCTCGAGCATAGATGAGACCCGAGACCGAGGTTGGATGGG